CTGGGCACAGACACCCCAGAACACCCCGAGCGCAGGGCGGCACCCCCGAGGGGGCGGGAGGCGGAGCCTGCTCCCGGCTCCGCCCACGCGCCTTGGCGCAGGCGTTGAGCTCTGCTCTCTGGGCCTCAGTTTCCCCATCTCTGAAGAACAGAGGTGAGGGAGAACATCTGAAGAGGGAAGGGCGTCCATGAGGCTGGCCGGAGGGCAGGAGACCCCGCCGGAAACCCCCGTCCCCCACTCGCCGCTTCTGAGCGCCGGGAGACCCCGCCGGCCGCCCCGGGGGTGGGGCCGGGCCGCCACGTGACCTCATTGCTAGGACACCCGCGGTAACAATCAAGCCCGCGTCCCCGCTTCTCACCCCGACCTCCCCGCCCTTCATACACCCCAACCCCCGTCCCAAGCCCTGGGCAGGGCCTCCCCGCCCCTCCGGGGCCCCAGACACCCACGGAGACACTCCAGCTTCGGGGCGCTCTGTGAGCGAAGGACAAGCCAGGTTAAAGCCCCGGGTTCGGAAACTGGGGGTTGGGGGAGCGGAGAGTGCGGGGGACCGCCGCTGCTGCCCCGGGATGGGGAGGGAGTGGGACCTGGTGGGGGTCGCGTTAATCCCCAGTGGGACGCGAGCAGCCGGGGTGCGGACGCAGCGCTGAACTGAGAGCTCTTAGCTATGGTGCCATTCTTAGCAGGAACTACCGTTTTTGAGCCCTGTGCGCTCAACTGTCCTGTGTGTGTACATGGAGCGGGAAGATGGCATAGGCAATAGGGATTGCCCAGAGTTCGGATCCTGGCTGCCCTCTCCCCAGCTGCGTGGGCCTGCTTGTGCCTCCCTTCCTCCCCCGTGAAGTGAGGATTATGGGAGGATTCCGTGAACCGATGTATCTGAAGTATTAGGCAGTAACTGGCAACTAGTAAGGGCACGATACATAGGGGCTACTGTATTATCTCATTTAATCTTTGCGCCAACCCTGAGAAATAGGCACCTTCATTCCCATTTTACAGATGAGAATTTGGAGGATCAGAATGGTGAAAAATAGTTGACTGAGTGACTTTGGGCAAGTCATTTCCCCTTTCTGGGCCTCTTTCCCCCTTAGTCGTTGATCACAGAGCATCTGAAAGCCCCTCAAAGAGCCTCTAATAAAAACTCTCTCATTTTATGGGTGGATAAACTGAGGCCCAGAAAGGAGAACATTCTCGGCCAAGGTCACTTGTTAATCAAAGGCAAAGCCAGGGCTGGAACTAGGTGTCCTGACTGCCAGCCAAAGCCTTTTCCACCCACCAGCAGCCCAGAGACAGGCTGAGGTCTGTCTCCCCCTCGGAACTGCTTCCTCAAAGTGCTCAAACCTTGGTAGGCTTGTCAAACCCAACTGCAAAGACAGCTGGGGAAGGAAAGGAAGCTGCCTCCCCCTGAACAAAGAACACCGCAAGCAAGCCTGCGATTTGCACTAGAGAGATTCGGTTTGCTTCCTGGACATTTCTGAAATGACTTGCCTTTCTCTTCATTTATTTTAAGCCCTAGGCGCTTTTCATACCACGATTTAATCTTCTTTAGCAGGCTGGAAAAATACAAATCAATTAAAGCCTAAAACCTATTGGGTAATCATTTTTTCCTTCTTCCTCCCAGAGCGAGAAGTGCCTGCACCCTGTGTCTTTCATCCCGACTAATTTGGCTGCAGTGACTCTCGTTCAAGGGACGATCACTTTGGATAGCTTATTACAGCTCTTCTCACGTTTCTGGCATGCATGTCACAAGTCTCTAGGATCAAGAACCGAGTCAGTTTTGCTCTCAGGGGCTCTTGGGGCCACCAACCCCTGAGGTAGTACTGTATCCCTGGAGAGTTTGGCAGCCCCAGGAAGCCTCAGGAAGGTGGCAGGGAGCCAGGTACACAGGGCAGCCTCTGAATGCTAGTCCCCATTGCTTTAGGATGGAGAACAGAGAAGAGTCTCATGGGAGTGGAAGCGAGATCCAGAGTCCAGTTAGTGCGTGACTCCTCGGAGGGCTCAAGCAGCTTTTCAGTCCGCCCCCATTCCGATGTCTGGCATGTTTGTCTCTCTGGACCATTCCAGAGGGAAGGAGGGAGATAGTCGAGTTAAGAGCCCGGATTTTATACGATCAGGCAGAGGTGAGCAGGAAATCCTGGCTCACTCACTTCCTAGCCGTGTGATCTCAGCTTCATCCTCTGCCGTGCGGGGATAATTGTGGTACCCTGTTCACAGGGCTGTGGTGAGGGCCGAGCTAATGCACGTCCAGGGTTTTCCTAGAGCCCCATCAAGTCGCCTGGTGTTAGGAAGACTGGGGCGAGCCACCCAGGATCACACTGAGGGCTGGAGCACAGCTGCAGTTCGCCATGCAGCGCACCGACCCTCCCTCTGCAAACGCCCCTTTGCAGACCGCGGAGCCCTCGCCCCTGGCCTCTGCGTCCCACTGCCCTGCCTCGGTTTCTCTAGCTGTGCCCTTATCTGAACTACTCCTCATTCCCTTATCCAGCTTGGCTGCCTCCCACGCTAAGAGGCAGCTCCTGCAGGGCGGCGGACCTCGCTCGCTCCGCTCAGTGGTGCACAGCCCGGCACCTGTGAGGCGCGGCATGTGGAGGGACAAACGTGAACGCACGTGCGGAGCGCTCTTCGCTTCCTTGCTTTACACGCCTCCAGGTTCCCCTCATAGCTTTGCCTGACGCCTGGCGTCCCGCAGCCTCACCCCAACCGTCGCCTTCTGTACCTGCTCACGATATTCCCACATCCCCACCCCGCAACCTCTAGCCCAGGGTCCCCCACCCCAGCCCCACCTGCGCGCTCTCTACCTCTCCGAAGCCCACCCTCTTCAAACCTTCCCCCCTCCAGGAGGTCGAGCCCTCAGCAGCCCCTGCGGCTTTGGGGCGGCACGCCGTGCCCATCCCCGGTCACACATGTGCGCTGTTTAATCGCAGTGCCTTTGACTGCTCCAAGTACCGGGCACTGCCACCTTCTGGGCTCACACCTTACACCTGCCATCTCCTGCAATGCACGTTAGGACTCTGGGGCTCAGAGGAGGATGAGCGGCTGGCCCGAGGCCGGCAAGAAGTGGGAGAACCAGGATTTGAACCCAAGACCCCGTGACAACAGAGCTCAGGTTCTTAACCAGCGCCCGCAGCTCTGAGCATTATGGGAGAGGCCAGGCCAGAGGCGCTCGGCCCTCCCTGAGCCTGCCCACGTGCTGCACGGACTGTTCTCGGTTTCAGCTCCGAGTCATTTGTAAGCCCTGGGCCCCAACTAGGGTGGGGCAAGTGAGGCACTGTGCCTTGGCTCAGAACTTGGGGGGATGCCCAAAACCTCAGTAAGCAAGATAAATAATATTTCAATGCAAGATTTTTTAAAAACCAAAATCTATGCAAAAACTCATTTAGAATAAAATATCAAAATTTTAAGAGACAGGATCAATTATTACTGATTTTCCCTGTTGCCTCAGGCTCCAAAGGCAAGGCACTGTCTTTACTTAAAGTTCTGGGGTTTTGTTCTTCATGGACTTTTTAGTATTAACTTTTTAAAAAAATTTTACCTATCTTGATTGCTGGGTTTTCTGGTGCCCCCTTAAATTTTGTGCCAAGGCAAATGCCCCTGATGCCAGGGGAGGCTGGACAGAACACCCCTGCGTCCTTATTCATCATGTGCCATTTCTGCCTCCAGGTGGGGGCCAGGAGGCAACTGGATACAGCAGGCATTCAACAAACTGTGGGCTCCCACCACGTCCCAACCCAGCTCCCCTTTCAGCTTGCCCAGTTCACGGGGCAATAGGAGGGCTGAGCGAGGAGGCGGTGGAGCTGGAAAGGGGCCGCTGCCCTATCTGGCCTGGCCCCGGGCCAGCCCGCAGCGCGCCTGCCCTGCTCTGTGGGCGAACACAGGCACTGTGGCTCCCAGGGGTGGCCTCCAGGCGCAGCCGCTGAAGTGGGCTCCATTGTGTATACAGTCAACCCTCTCAGGTTCATGGGGCACAACTGTCAGGGTCCCTTCTGGCCCAGCTCCTTTATGGCGGCCTGGCTGCGGTTCAGCTCGCAGCCCAGGACGTGGACGCCATCACCCAGCGCTCCCCAAGCTGAGTCACTGCTCCCACTCGGTCCTGGAGGCCATCATCTGGTCTGCTCCCCTTGCGTTTCCTTTCATCTCCCTGATGCCGGAGAGACATCCTCCCTGGCTCCATCCTCCCATCCTCCCGCGCTGGGCTCCGGGTGCCCAGGGAGGCATAGCAGAAATGCCTCCCGGCTGCACTTGGTTCTCACCCTCCACCTGGGACCTGCCAGGAAGCCCGGATGTGGCCTTGCCAAGTCCTCTGGCCCCTCCCCCTTGCAGCATCTTGCTAGGACCCTTCCTCCTTCCCTCCACACACCTCCTTTGACCCCTGCATGTCTGTGCCTGGGCTCCGTGTGTGCTGGGGAATTTCGAGGTTGCTAGGACCTAGGGCGTCTCTGGCACACGCTTGTTGTGACACCCTGGGTGTCATTTTCCCTCCAGAGGTTAAGGGGAGTTGATCTGCTGGGGTTCCTTCCAGCTCTAACATTCCATAAACCTGTGACCTGGAGTATTTTGTGTGTGCTCAGCCAAACTGTGATGTCACAGAGGACAGAATCTGTGGGCTTTCCTGCTCCCAAGGGAGATTCGAGACGCGTTGTGGACGCCTGAATCACACTGGGACAGTCTGTGAGGCACCAAAAAAAGAGCACGCTCCGAGGCATTCACATTTCCAACCAGGGTCACCCTGCAGTTAACGGGGGTGGAGGGTGGGAGGGGCCAGGGAGGAGGCCGGGGCCCCAGCCTGGGGATGGTCAAACCTGAGACCAGGGTGTCTGCCCCAAACTGGGCCGGGAAACTGCATCTTCTCAGATTGGACGGTCCAGGGCTGAGTTCTCCCCTGCTTGGCCCACTGGGAAGGATCTCGCCAACTGCAGAGTGGCCGATGTTTTAAAACGATTTGGTCTAGTGAGTGTGTGTGTGTGATTGAGAGAGAGATTGAGAGATTGAGAGAGAGAGAGAGCGATTGAGATTCTCACAGTCTGGATTGAGAGGTAGAGAGAGAGAGATTGAGAGATTGAGAGATTGAGAGAGAGAGAGAGCGATTGAGATTCTCACAGTCTGGGGAGACCGAGGACCAGAGAAATTCTTGTCCACCATGGAGGGAAGGAAGTCGTTTTATGGCAAAGAATGTGTCCTTGGCGGATAGATGGGCTTGGGTCAGGCCCGGCTCTGTCACGGACGGCCTGGGGGATCTCAAGCAAGTGCGCGGCCTCCCAGGGCCTCAGTCCCTTCCCAGCCAGAGGGATGACAGCAGTCCCCGCCCCCAGGGTTGTGGGGCACCGCCTCGTGCGGGCTGTGAGCGCCCTGCCCTTGACGCCAGCGCTGGGTCTGCAGCCTGGTCCTGGAAGCTCCTGACTGCTGCCCGCCCGCAGGCCCGTCTGCTCCTGGAAGCGAGCGCGGCGGGGGCGATGAACGAGGTGAAGGAGGCCCTCCGCGGCATCGAGCAGAAGTACAAGCTCTTCCAGCAGCAGCAGTTCACCTTTATCGCGGCGCTGGAGCACTGCAGGGAGAGCGCCCACGACAAGATCCGGCCCATCAGCAGCATCGAGCAGGTGTCGCAGCGCCCCCCCGCCCCGTGCCGGGCAGCCCCGGGCCCCGCCCCTTGCTAGAAAGACGGAAACAAACAAAGCTGAGGCCCGGAGAGGGGACGCACGGAGGGAGCCGCCTGTTCATTCCTTCACACGTGGGCTCAAGACTCAGCCGCAAGGGCCACTGCTGTGACCTCGGCCAGTGATCCGCCTCTCTGAGCCTCAGTTTCCTCGCTTGTAAAGTGAGAAGAGCAGCACATGCCCCCCCCACCCCCCACGGGCTGAGAAGCAGGTTGATGAGATGATCCTCGGACACACAGCACATGTCAGGCCGCACCCGCAGGCTGCGTGCGGGGCCATCCCGAGGTGCACACACGTGGTCCCAGCTGGGGATCCAAGGGCGTTCGAGAAGCTCAGCACGCCAAGCACACTGACCACGGACGCTTTCACTTAACCCGCGTCTCCTCAGGGACCGGCTTGAGGCTCCGTGCACTGGGGACACAGGCCCCGGCCCCCACCCCACCCCACTCCCGGGCATGGAGACAGCAGCCCTCGCTGGCGAGCGCCCTTTTAAAAATTCTTTTTTCTCGTTTTTGTAAAAACACCTCCCAGTTTAACTTGAAAAAGTTCGAACCAATGGAAAATGAACACCCATATGACCTTCACCTTGATACACCAAGCCACCTGTAAGATTTGGCCAGGTGTGCAGGCTCTCTGTGGAAGCACACCCTCCTGAACCTGAACTACTTGGAAGTTAATTGGCTTCATCCTGTTTAGCCCACTCCCCAGAGGCTCAGAGGACCAGGTGCACGCACCCGTCACTGAGTCTGCGGCAGAGCTGAAGGACCCCAGCTCCTCCCGAGTGTGAGGAGGGGGGGTCCTGCATTAGGTTCCAGAAGGTTCTTGGTAAACAGCGGCCCCACGTTTTGATTCTATCTTAAGTGTTGACTCTCCAACCTCACCCTGCCCTCCCTGGACCAGACGTAGCCTGCGGTCACATGCGCACACACCAGGTGGCCCAATGACACTGCTCTGCTGTGGTTACACCACGGTGCAGGCTCCTCCGTCCTCAACCCTCGTCCCAGGGCGGGTGTGCAGGCGTGCCCAGTGGGTGTCAAAGCCTCTGCCTCTAGCAACAAAAGGGCTCCCAGTGGCAGCAGGAAAACCCTGGTTTAGACTCAGGCCTTTATGGGTGCTGGAGGTCACCATGTCCCTCCCACCAGACCGTGGAGAGGAAGGGAACCGTGTGGTGATCCTGCCTGGACCCACCGGCCGCTCCCCAGGGCAAGGTCAGGCCTCCGCCCTCGCCTGACCTCCAGTCGAGGCACTGGGTGGTCCCAGGTCACTCTGGAGAGATAGAGCCCTGACCCACGGAGGACCCCTCAAGAAAAGGAGCGGGAAGCAGACCAGCTGTGCCCTCTGCCTCGTTTGAGGACGGCCTGCCCACTCGCGCGTCTGCAGCGCGCTCACGCTGAGTCTGGTCGTGTGCTGCGTGCTTAAGCACCTCGTCCCCCTAGAGCTGATGTTTGTCTGAGCAGACCAGCCATGCGCGCCCTCTGCCTCGTTTGAGGACGGCCTGCCCACTCCCGCGTCTGCAGCGCGCTCACGCTGAGGTCTGGTCGTGTGCTGCGTGTTTAAGCACCTCGTCCCCCTAGAGCTGATGTTTGTCTTTGGTATGAGGAAGAGACGTTTTTCTTCTTATGTGGATAATCGTTTTCCCCAGCTCCGCTGACTTACGTATCCTTCCTTTCTCTGCCTTGGACACGCAAGACCACAAAACTGCAAAGGATTCCAGTTCCTTCTATTTGCTCCTCAGGCTGGGTGGCCCCACCCAGCCATCCTCTAAGTGGGATAGTGGTATGAAAAGTCAGAGGCCAGCTCTTTGTTTTAGGCATCAGCTTGGGTACATGGGGACAGGTGAGAGGTGGGGCTTGGAGCCGCTGAGCTGGAGCGAAACCCAGCTTCGCTACTTTGGGTGGTCCCCAAGCAGCTCACGTCACCTCCCCGAGCCTCCAGCATCCATTTGTACAGTGAGGATTTAAAAACTACCCAGCCCGTACGGTTTAGGTGAAGACGAGTGAGATTGGGCCTGCAAAGCATTTTGCAGGGAACCTGGGACACTTAATGACGTCTGCTCTACGTAGGGGTCTGTGCATTCAACACGACTGGCATCTGGACCCCGGGAGGCCGGGCGAGGCCGGGCAGGGTCCCTGGGCTCTCCCACGGAGCAGCTGGGCCCGGGGTGGTGCCCCACCTCCCCCCCTTGCTGACGGCACTGGCGGGGGGCCCGCAGGTGCAGAGCTACATGGAGCATTACTGCAACAACTCCACAGACCGGCGCATCCTGCTCATGTTCCTGGACACCTGCGCGGAGCTCAGCAAGCTCTGCCAGCGCTTCGAGGCCCTGCACTCCGGCACGCCTGTCACCAACAACCTGCTCGAGAAGTGCAAAACCCTTGTGAGCCAAAGCAACGACCTCAGCAGCCTGCGAGCAAAGTGAGTCCGCTGGCCCTGTTCCTGACGCCTCGGTAGTGTGTGCTTGTGGGGAGGGGCGGGGACGGGAGCGGGTCCTCTGTGGAGAGGCGGCCAAACCCGAACGGCCAAGGCCTGGGAAATGCTAGGCCCACTGATCCACTGGAACAGTTAACGGGGACCCTGAGGCCCCAGATGGGACACAGCCCCTCCCCCTGCTGCAAGCCCCAGGCGCAGGGAGGGGCTCAGAGCAGTGAGCCCCGCCAGCCCTGGACTTCTGAGCCCTAGGGAATCCGGAGCTCAGGCGCCCAGGTCCTAAGGAACCATTAGGGTAAGAAGAGTCGAGGGCGACGCGGCGTACTCCGGGGCCATTCCGGCGGGTTTCCGCAGTCCTCAGCCAGGGGTCTCCAAATCTGGGGGCATGGTTTACACCTCCTTTCACACCAGGGTGACCTGGGTCCTTGGCCTCTCCACCTGCTGTGGGGACGGTGCCTTCGCAGTCCTGAAACCTGCCACGGGCCTCCCGTGTGGCCAGGATGAGGACTGCCCTCCGAGGCTGGGGAGTGGCCCGCCACGGCACACAGCATGAGGTCCCTGGACGGGGGCCTCACTGGCCCCCTCTTGCCCCGGCAGATATCCTCACGACGTGGTGAACCACCTCAGCTGTGACGAGGCCAGGAACCACTACGGCGGCGTGGTCAGCCTCATCCCCATCATCCTCGACCTGATGAAGGAATGGGTCGCCCACTCGGAGAAGCTGCCCCGGAAAGCACTGCAGCACGTGAGTGAGCCCGGGGAGCGCCAGGAAGCCACCGTGGCCGCCGCTGGTCCTCCCCAGACCGCAGGCGCCCGGCCGGGGTCACGGAAACCCTGGTGCAGGCGACTTAGAAAAGACAGTCTCAAACCCAAGGGCAAGGACAAGGGAAGTTCAAAACCTCCCTGGAGACCACCTGGTGGGAAGCTGTAACTCAAAGCCAGTGACCTGCTTGCCACCCGGTCCCATCCCCTGGGGTGCTTTGTTACTTAGTTTCCACGGGTCAATCCACTGTCGTTGGCACCCACGGCTCCTGTCACTCATTAACCGCAAAGGGGACGCCCCCGACATATCCCTGACGACCTCTCTTCCCGTCCTGCTTTAACTTCTAACTCCTCCTCGCCCCTGAGCATCAGACCCCGCCCGTGACGATGGGCCACTCCCGGTGTGCTTGGTAGAGGGTGTCCGCGGGAGGCTCCGCCAGTCCCCCACACCAGGCAGGCCCAGGTCCCCAGGCCGGCCACCAGGCTGCAGGAGGCCACCACAGGCAAGACGTGTCCCTCTGTGAGACAGGGCTGCTCCCACCTCCCAGGCTGCCGCGGCTCAGCTCACTGCCCATCTACAGTGTGACCAGGTCCCCGGACCAAAGCCCGCAGGGGAACGAGCCCACCTTTCCTCTCCTCTACCTGGGAGACGGAGACTGAGAGACGCTGGAAGAATCTGACTTTGTGGCTCCTGCACAGGACCATTGTCTGGCTCTCACGACACGAGTGAGGCCCATGACTGTAAGATGGGCCACCGGCCCTTGCGCGTGGCGACATGCTGACTGTCGGCTTTTCCCTTCACAGGGGGCGACTTAGCTTCTGTGTTCTTGCTTCCTCGGGGGTGACAGTCAAGAATAAAAGTGTTCTGCCATCTCTCTGCCTGGCGTGGTTTCCTGGGACTCAGCCCTCAAGGAAAAGCACGTTTATGCTGAGACATCACAGGACACTGGGCAGTAGCCTCACGAGTGGGACCACAGAGCAGCCCCTGCAGTGTGCCCAGCTCCAGAAAGCCGGCTCCGAGCGGGTTCTGCCAGAGGCCCGCAGAGCGGCACGGTGGCCCTCGGGTATCTGAGACCTGGTCAGACAAGAATGCCCGGGTGTTCTGGACAAAATTCAAAGCTGCCACCTGAGTCTTTGTCTCAAAGGAGCTGCTTCCACCCTTAAAATGGGCCAAGGAGCCCGATTTCCAGGGAGCGACCGGGCACAGGCAAGCAATTAAAAGCCGCGTTGTAAACAGAGCTGTTCCGCCCTGGTTCCCCGCCCCCCAGCGCGTCCCCAGCAAGGGATGGTGAGGCCAAGAAGTCTAACAGCCATTTACAGGGGGATTCCTGCCTTTGGCCTGACAGCACATGGAAGGTGCTGGGTGCAAGCTGCACTTTTCCCGGACACACTCACAAAACACAACCAGCAGGGCTCAGGGTTAGTCAGCTCCCAACAAGGTCAGGGTCACTTGGGCTCCGCCAAAGGGCTGCATAAAGCCCAACGTGCCGGCCGACCCCTCGGAAGACAAGCACACGCCGAAAGAAAGGCGGGACAGCCCTGCAGACCCGCAGGCCGCCACCATCTGTTTTCTGGTAGCGATGACTCAAGTCAACCCCCACCCCACACACACACAGCACCGGGCCTCTCTTCGGGAAGAGAGCATGAATTTGAGGCACATAAATTTGGAGATTTGTGACCATTTGTCAGATGTTCTGCCAGAACAAAAAAGATCTTAAGAGACTAAAGCCAGATCTGGAAACTTGTCAGCCCCCTCCACCCGCCGCCCAAGGTCACCAACCCACACAGACCCCGAGGTTTCTGCACCTCGGACTAGTCCCCACTTTGCCTGTAAGCCCTGCAGAGGCCAACACGAGTCACTTCAGAGCGACACGGCGAAGTAGTGCAAAACGATAAATTTTTATTTGTTCACAGTTAAACACAAGCAACTGCCTTGACATTCTGGAACATTCTAAGGACAGCAAACCCTTTTGATTCCACTTCCCACTAAGATTGTACCATTTTCCCTCGCAGTTCACGTTTACGGCATCTGATGTGGATTGTTTGACATGCTTTTAAGATCGAGGTGGGAAAGTTTAAACCTTTTGATAAGAGATGACTTTTTAAAAATTAACTAAAAGCAGTCATTTAAAAAAATCTTTTTCACTGATGGGATCCCTTCGAACTGCAAGTTAGCCACATATGCTTGATCCATGATTGAATTACAAAACTAGACTTATGTCAGCAAAATCTGTTCCTCCGTAATGTGTTTGTGGTCCATTCGAGTCTTCCGAAAAGCCATCTCTGATTCTTCCTGGTGCAAAATGCCCGGCCGCCCCTCTGACGAGCCAGTGTCTGCGCACAGAGCAACACGCACCCTCCTGTCTAAACACTATCGGGGTCGGGGAGGGAGGAGGGGTTGGTCTGGGGGGTCTCGAACTCTCAGAGATCTCCTCTAAAAGAGCTACTCCAATGGTTCACCAGCCTGCTGAGCCCAGAGGGATGGCGATTTCGTGGCATTGGAAAGGGATGGGGGGTGGGGGTGGGGAGAAAGTTCCTCTGCCTCATTAACTCGTCTCAAGGCCCAAAGTGGCCGTGGGCGCAGGGGCCTAACCGTCCCAGGCAGGTTTGCCGTGTCGCTACAGCCGCCACCTCAGGCGAGCAGGTGTAGACTGCGGGGCGGACGGCGGAAAAGACGGGATCACTGCTCCCCCTGGGCACAGCAGAGTCACAGATGGGGAAGCGAGCCATCTGGGGACGAGGGTCACAGCAGCAGCCTAGGGGCCAGGCCCCGACCTCAACTGGTTCTTTCACCTCTAAAGTTTAATGAAGTGCAATGATTCCTTTGCAGCGGTCGGGCGGGGGCGGGGGCAGGGCCTGTCACAAAACTCTGGACGTAAACAGATACACAAAGGTCTTAGACCGATACCGCTTCCGACACTCACTGCTGGTCCGTTTAAAGCATGTACCTCGAAGAGTGAAAATGCACCAGAGTGAGACGTGCTGATGTGGGTCATTGCACAAAAGACAGCCCTCCCCCGCCACAGAGGGACACGCTCCGAGGTGGGGTCAGGCTTCTCCAGGACCGCTCTGAAGAGAGGGCGGGCCTCTCCGAGTCTCTGCATAAGGTGGGTGACAGCCGCGTGGGCTGCAGTTCTGGACTGCGCCTGTGCTCGGCCCACCCCTCCTCAACCTGGTCGTGCTGCCTGCCGCCTCTCGGGGCTTCCGTTCAGACTGTGTCTGCACAGCGCGCTCATTCCTTCTTCAGCGACTTCTCTCTGGCTTCAAGTGATCAGTTCTAGTATTTGGTGAAACTCACACTGGCCAGTCACAGCACCTGTCCCACTCCACACAGAACACCCACGGCTCTGGGCAGCTCACAGACCCTCTCAGCGCCACGAGCATTTTAGCCATTCTCTCCTGTGCAACTGCTAGACTTTGCTCTTTCCCGACAAACACCCCGGAAATTCCGTACGTGCTCTTCCAAACGGGGGCGGCCCAGAGCCTGGAGTTCTGTCTGCTGTTGTCCTGATTTGCCCAGTGGCGTGCGAGCCTCTCTGGCTGCGGTGGCCTAATTTTTCCAATTGTCAGTGGCTCCCGGGACCTCGTCGTGGATTGTAACAGTTCACCTTTCGAGAAGAGTTTGGACTACTTCCCCTAAAGACAGTACATATATTCTGGCTCACAAAGTAGCTTATCTATCATGTCTCTCTCCACTCAGAGCCCAGTAAGAACTTTCAGCAGCTTATTCCCAAAACCGAAGCAGTTTTCTCTCCCAAAAAAAACTGCTGA